AGGAGGAGGAGGAGAAAGAATAGAAGGAGGACCAGGAGGAGGAAGAGGAGGAAGAGAAGGAAAAAGAGAAGGACAGGAAGAGGATGAAGAGGAGGAGGAGATCAAAGAGAAGGAAGAACAGGAGGAGGAGGAGACATAGGAGGAAGGACAGGAGGAGGAAGAGGAGGAGGATAGGAGGATGTCGAGGAGGAGGAGAAAGAATAGAAGGAGGGCCAGGAGGAGGGGGGAAGAAGAGGGGGAGGAAGAGGAGGAGGACAAGAGGAAGAGGCGGAGGAGGAGGAGGAAGGAGGAGGAGGAAGAGGAGGATGAGGACAAGAGGAGGAGGAGGACAGGAGGAGAAGGACAGGAGGAGGAAGACGAGGAGGATGAGGAGGAGGACAGGATGAGGGGGAGGAGGAGGAGAAGGACGAAGAGTAGAAGGAAGAAGAGGATGAGATCAAAGAGAAGGAAGAGGAGGAGGAGGAGGAGAAAGAATAGAAGGAGGACCAGGAGGAGGAAGAGAAGTAGGAGGAAAAAGAGAAGGAGGAGGAGGAGGAAGAGGAGGAGGGGGAGGAGAAAGAGGAGGATGAGGATAGGAGGAGGACGAGGAGGAGGAGGAGAAGGAAAAAGAGAAGGAGGAGGAGGAAGGGGATGAGAGAAGATCAAAGAGAAGGAAGAACAGGAGGAGGAGGAGAAATAGGAGGAAGAGAAGTAGGAAGGAGAGGAGGAGGAGGACAGGAGGTCAGTTTGGGTTAGTTTTTCAGTACGAACACACATAAATCTGGGCGGTAGAATGTAGAATGGTGATTGGCTCTAAAGGTTTTACCGGGAAACGGCACGTCCATGTCAGCGTGAAGCATCTCGATGAGCTGCGCCGTCTTTGAGCCCGGGGCCGCACACATGTCCAAAATCTGCCCGGAAACAGAGTCATCGCATAAACATAAATATATAGATATATTAGGGATGTTCCCATCCAGCTTTCTGCCCTTACGATCCCGGCCTATCAGAGCATGTGTTAAAGTCTAAAGTTATTTATCTACTTACTTAGTTGTCAGACTCATGTTGAACAGGGATTTACTCTGATAACAACTTAATGGTTAGGACACAGACCTGTGGGTTACAGA